AGGCCTGGAGTAATTATGGAACATGTTGTGGGGTATGTGCTAACAGCATATTCCAGCACATTTGTGTGCTTGTTCTTGTACATGCACTCTCTCTCCCCTGAACTGTATTTAAGAGTGAATTTACATTATAATATCCACCTTCAAGAAACATTTTGAGTAAACTGGAGCTACCATGGATAGTGTTAATATACATGTTGGCTGTGTCATGCTTTCCTCCCTCCTGCCTCTACCTTTACCCATAACTTTGAGAGCAAGGTGAACCAAGATGTTTAGTAGGAGTTTGCTTAGAGAATTCAGAAATATATGAATGAAGTACTTAGTTGAGTTAAAAAAGTAAAATTAAGAAGATCCCTTTGTGACATAATGAGGTAAATATGCAATTTCAGAAAGGGTTTTTCTTTCAGTTGTCTTTTGTTCATGAGATACTATGCTAGAACATACTTAAACTGGCATATAGGAATTCTTAAATATACATCAGTAGAGAAAATAGACATCTAGGTATGATGCATACGGATTGTTAATGTATCCTTTATATTTAAAAGCTCTCATCTAATTGATAAAACTTTGTTAAAATGAACAAACAACACATGAAGACTTTGTGTCAAAACTTTCCGTTTGCTTCTGTAAATGGTTCTGATATTTTCAGCAGTACATTGTTGCTGAACACTCGTGTGACCTGAAAAGCTGAGAAATATTGTGCCTGTACCTGTGCTTGGCTGCAGTCATTATGTTAAATTATTGGCAGTGCTTTTTCTTTTAGTTCGGCTGCCTCTTTCTCCTTCATGATGACATAAGATATTGTTTTCCTTTCCTCTTCAGCTTTCTTCTTCTGCTCTTAAAATTATCCTATCATCACCTATTTAAAGGAAAAGATAGAGGACTTTATTTAGCTAAAGCCTGCGAAGTCTCCCTCCCCTCTCTCTTTCTCACTCCCCCTCTTCCCCCTGTTCTTTCTTTTTTTAAGTATGGAAGGATAGTCCCAGTTAAATTAGTTCTGTGCATTTTTTTCTTTAATTTCACTTTTTTAATCAAGTTTATTCTATTTAGAATTTCTCTACCCTTAATGTAAGGCATTACCTAATACTTTTTCAAATGTTTAGCGAAGTCTATAATTTTAGTATTTTATTTTAAATTATAATGACTATGTTTTGAGAAGTCCTGCCAGACCTAGTTGTAGTTCCAGGGCAGTGGGGTGGTTGTACTACCCTCTACAGAATAAGTACAGATTACTAACACAAAGATTTGAAGCTGAAGCAAGTTTTGATCTCTTGTGACGTTATAAAGTCTTAACCTTCTGTATTGTAAGGTGAAACTAATTATGTGTCAGAGTCTGAACTAGATATTATAACCATTCAGCTGTGAAGTAGGTTAGCATAGTTCACTGAAAATGTGTTAGAAGCTATCTGAGCAGAACGTCAAGGAATTTAGATATTGCACACCAGTGCATGAATTTTTTATGTTTATCATGGATTCTGTTGTGTACTCATGCATACTTTGTCATATGTGAATGCTTACTGGAAAGTGTCAAGGACAGTGTTTAGAAAATATGAGATATTTTATGGGAACTGCTACAGATCTGCTGAGGCAGGACAGTCCTGTTCTAAGTTACTTGCATCTTTTTTGGAGTTGTCTTTTGCTTAATATCAAGGGTGGAATTACACAAGGAATAAATGAGGAAATATAACAAAAATTTGGAGGCTGAGCAATGAAAGGTTCTTGTGAGGACCTACAACTGTGAGGGAGAATAGGTAAGAGAGTTAAGAGAGTTTAATCCTGGTCTTCTTTTTTTCCTGTGAAAGTTAGCAGAGAACTTGTATCGGCAAGATGGTGTTGTCAGTGAAAGAGGCCATGTCACACAGAGCCAGTTCCAGCTGCCTCCCAGGTGGACCTGTTGCTAGCCAAAGCTGAGCCCATTGGTGGTGCTGGTGGTGCCTCTGTGGTAATGCATGTAAAAAAGGGTAAAAGGCACTGCACAGTGGTGAGAGAGGAGTGAGAAAATATGAGAGAAATAGCTTTGCAGCCCCCCAGGTCAGTGGAGAAGGGGAGAGAGAGACGAGGTGCTCCGGGTGCCAGAGCAGAGATTCCCCTGCAGCCCATGGTGAAGACCGTGGTGAGGCAGGCTGTTCCTCTGCAGCCCATGGAGGTCCATGGTGGAGCAGAGGTCCACCTGCAGCCCATGCAGCACCCCATGCAGCACCCCATGCCGAAGCAGGTGCAGATGCCTTGATGGAGTCTGCAGCCTGTGGAGAGGAGCCTGCACAGGAGCAGGCTGTCTGGCAGGACATATGGTCATGGGGAGTGGCAGTGATGAAGCCTTATGAACTGACCACAACCCATATTCCCCATTCCCTTGCACCTCTTGGTGGGGAGGAGGTTGGAAGAGTTGGGAGCAAAGTTGAGTCAAATTTCGAAGCAGTGTCATCAAGTAAATTGAATGATAAAGGAATTAAAATCTTAGCCACTGTACTTCGATATTGCCTGAGCAATAATTCGTGGATTTTGTGCATTTGGCATGTTTCTTCTTTAACTGTGTTACTAGCTTTTTCCTTCACCTATAAACACAAAAGGAGCAAGAATAGTAGATAACAGAATATCTTTTATGTTTGCAAAGACCTTCTCATAGTTTCACAAACTCTAGGAAGTCAATTACAAGTGTCATAGGAGAGGATATGTAAGACATAGTTTAATTAGAAGAGAGGACTGAGGGAACCAATAAAGATCTTTCCAGTTAGATGAGTCAGCACAAGTGGAAGGGTGACTCCCAGCTGTGTTCATTTGCAGCTGAAATAATGAACAGAAAAATAAACAGGCAGAAGATCAAATTAGTGAAAAGCAAACTTACTGATTTTCAAATCAAGATGGCAGTTTTGGGTTGCATTTCTAGGTGTGTATGGAGTAAATTAGGCTTTGAGAAAGAAAACAGTTTCAGATTCATAGATCACTGTTGGGAGTTGCAGTACTTGGGGAGAGACTAATGATCGAAGCACTAGTGTTTTAGCTCTGTGTTGAATTTCAGTGTTATGTACATGAAGATACTTTTACAGAGGATCTGTAATAGAGGAAATAATTGAGTACCATGTTGCTGTACTTCGAGTGCAGTACTAATTCTAGAAACACCAGTTAACTTTCTTTAAAGAAGTGAATAGAACAGTCTATAAACATTGGGGGGAAAAAAGGTGAATACAGTTTGTTTTTTTTTTTATTCCAGTAGGTTCTGTAAAGAAAATTATTATATGATTTCGTAAACATGCTACTTTATACATGACTAATATGTGTGTCAGACTTGTATAAAAGGGATTGTTCCAGTGCATGGGATAATTTCTTTGTCCCTGAATTGAGATTATAATAGGTTAGAATTCTGTGTTTTTCCATTCCTTCAGTTTTGATGCTTTCTTGCACTACATAGAGTGTTCATGTTCTGTTTGAGAAACAACACCAAGAATATGAAATGGTTGCCTATCTTAGTTGATTCCTATGGAAAATTCTAAAGTTCAGAGAATTATTCTTGCTCCTTTGCCCATGCTGTTTTGGTTTATACATTGATTTCTAGTGTTAATTACTGTGGAAGGGCTAGATCAGTAGAAACTTTTGCTGTAGTTTTTAAAATAGCTACTACTGTGGTCAGTTGTAAGTGATCAGAGCACATAATATACTTCTTGATACTGTAAATTGCTTGTTGGCTGATAGACTAATAATTCTGTTAGTTACAGTGCATCATTTTCCTTTATAAACTTTTAGGCCTCATACTTTATGGCACTTCTATAGAATTTGAAGATTAAATTACAATTAAATTTCATGAAACAAATCAAAATTAAAGAAATCAAAGCATTTAAATAAAGTTAAGAAAGTTAATATGGTTTTTTTGTAGTAGAAAGGAAAGCATATCAAGATATATAAAAATGAATTGATAATTCCTTATAATCTAAGACCAAGTTAAAATTTGAAATCAAATTAAGAAAAATTGATATTGCAACATCAGTGAAACATTTTTAGGATAATTTTGGGGATAGTTGCTCAGCTCTCCAAGTGAGAGAGGAAATAAACAATAGCACTTGAGACAAAACATCCTTTATCCTGATTTTCTGTGTAAGTAGTGATTCCACACAAAAAAATTGCATTGCAACTTTGTTTGAGAATTATATATTGGTAATTTTCTTTTCTTGAATCTCTCAAGAACCATAGCGGGAAAACTCTAACAAAATGAATTGAGTGGAAGGGTTTGCCAAGCAAATATTCAGAAACATTACTGAGTATTCAAATAACATCTTTGTTTCAAAAGTTTTATCACTTTGGGGTTAAAATGCAGGTAACTTTCTTGTTCTCATTATTTCAAAGTCAAGTCTATATTACAGAGCTGCAACCCAAAAATGAAACATCCATTTAGAGTTAATACAGTCAAACAAAATACATGCAAATACTCTCCATTTTAGCTATATAGTTTTTGCGTTAGATTTTTGATTCATGGTATTAACTGTAGTCATGGGTTCAGTACAGTTATGACCACATTAAACCAGGCTTTTGATTTCTTATGCTGCTTGAATTTATTATTCTGCACTTCTAAAGACCAAATTATTTTTGTGTCTCTGATTATAGTCTGAATGTTCATATTTCCTACATTATTTGTCTTAAATTGTAAATTTATGAGGAAAAAGTCACCTTAAAAAATCTCTAGCATGGCACATTCTGGCACGTAACATCAGAGCCTTTTAAAGCGACTTGGACTTCTGCAGTAAAGCTGTAACTTTAGTGGATTAGCAAGTAGAGAGCAGTTGATGCAGTAATATCTATGGGGTATAGCCTGTTAGAGATGGAGACTGGCAGGACTATTGAGTGTGATGATTTACTATTTAAATGTAGAAGCAGATGTAGAAAAAGTATAAGCAAACCAGAAACACCATAAAAAACCAGAAAAGTACATGGATTTACATAAGTAATTAAAGGAAAAGAAACCTTTCTATTCTTTTTTTACAACTAATACTTGTATATTGTCTCTTCTTCAGGATAACTACACATTTGCACAGCCAGGAATTCAGAAGAAAGTGAAAATGTTGGAAGAACTTGTTAGTCGGATCGATGGTAAGTCTTAAAGGATAAGCTAATTTCTAACTGATATTTCATTGAAAGTGTTTAGTTGAAATGTGCTCAAGAAGTCAAGCCAACATCCTTGCAGTCACCTGCAGTGGGGGGGTCACACTGCCTTGCTCAGGTGAGGTGTCTGTGGCACACTGGCCTTTGTGGATCACTGTTGTGTATCGTTTAAAAGAAAGTCACTCGAGCATGAGCCACTTTCATTACTTTTTATTAGGGCAATATAATCAAAACTCAATGGCAATTTCTTTGCAGCAGAGTAATGACCACATACAAAAGGCAGCCAGTATTCATTTCACATTAAGCCTCAATGATTGTTGTAATTCGGGCAAGTCACAGTGGTTGTTTATAGTTGTCCTTCGGCACTATGTTTTGTGCCTTTGTGCATCGTTTTGCTCTCAGGA